TGATTAATTAAAAAGTTAGAGTCAAGCATACACGTTAGTTGTTATCAGGAGACACTCTATTGCAATAACATGTAACTGAAAGGCGCCCTCTGGCTTTATGACGTTAGTTGTTATCAGGAGACACTCTATTGCAATAACATGTAACTGAAAGGCGCCCTCTGGCTTTATGACGTTAGTTGTTATCAGGGGACACTCTATTGCAATAACATGTAACTGAAAGGCGCCCTCTGGCTTTATGACGAAAGGTAAAAGGATGGACGTGACTCGACGCACCTGTTAAGGAGAACGAAATATTTCCAGCGTTCAGCTTCTTTGAAACATACAGACAGAAGGCAAACTCGATCCCCGAGCCTTATCAGCAGTGTACAAATTGCGTATTAGAGAGCGTACACATATTTCAAATAGGGCAAATCCAAGTAAATTGTGTGCTTGTCGTCCCCCCTCCCTCTTTTCGTTTTTAGCTGTCTTGTGCAAATTCGTAAACAACCGCTCTGATCGTAATACAAGTTCCTTTTAATAAAGCTAATGTGTCAGTAAAATATTTCAATGGAGATAAGGATATTGATATCCGTGGATAAAACAAATATGTTAATCATTGCGTAAAATTTTGATTATCTGCAGGTGGCGCCATCTTCGTATATTCCATTATCGAATGAACGCTAAGCCCAGAAAATGAATGGTATTTGGGAATTATCCAACCTGCTGAGCTTAAAGTTTATTTGTTGTTAAGTTTGTTTGTTAAATGAATTTCGCACAAAAGCTACTAGTGTTTGGTTTGTTTAGAATTTTTGCGACTAGAGGGAAGTTATCTAGTCAACACCACCCACCGCCAACTCTTGGGCTACTCTTTTACCAACGTGGGATTGACCGTCACATTATAACGCCCTCTGGGCTGAAAAGACGAGCATGTTCGGTGCCGAGATTCGGACCCGCGACCCACAGATTGCGCATGGCCAGATGGTTAGGGCGCTCGACTCGCAATCTACGGGTCGCGGGTTGGAATCCCCGTCACATCAAACATGCTCGCCCTTTCAGCCGTGACTATCAATCCCACTATTCGTTGGTAAAAGAGTAGCCCAAGAGTTGGCGGTGAGTGGTTATGACTAACTGCCTTCCATCTAGTCTTACACTGCTAAATTAGGGATGACTAGCACAGATAGCCCTCGTGTAGCTTTGCGCGACATTCATAACATATCAAACCAAATCCACAAATTGCACTATCTTGCTGTTTAGCGTAAATCTGAATGATAAATAATCTGCGCTTTTAGCACCGAATTTTAGTATCATAAGCTCTCAAGCTTACCGCTGGGCCATCAATGTGGACAGCGGTGCTTGATAATTTCATTTTTCATATTATTATTTATATAACATTGGTGCATGCGACCTCTGGTGGTAACTTTAATGCATGCGACCTCTGGTGGTAACATTAGTGCATGTGACCTCTGGTTGTAACATTAGTGCACGTGACCTCAGGTTGTAACATCAGTGCATGCGACCTCTGGTTATCTGACATTAATAACTATTTATTTCGAAATGATGTCAAGAACAGTCTTCAGGCCAACCGTTTTTTTTTATCCAACATCTCTTCCTTCTGTAGTTACTTGGTCAGTAACAACAATTTGTTTTGGCAGAAATGAGCTTATTCTAAGTTCGTCAGTTTTTAAGTGAACATGTGTTTTCGTATTAATAATTATAAGCTTCCAAATACATGAAAATACCCAAAACAAGAATCCTTAATTTTAGAAAGCTGAATGTTTGGAGCTTATTCTAAGTTAATGAGTTCTTAAGTGACTATATTTTTGTATAAAAAA